GTTCCCACGAAAAGTGAACGCTATGAAAAAATATTTCTAACAGCGACAATAATTCAATGAAACTAATGTAGAAACTATTTGAATTGTTATAATATTATTTGTAGCATTAAGAAATAATGGTAACAATGTATTCAAATAAGAGAGACTCACAACTGTTGAAGAAGTTGGATCTCACCAAGACCCTGAATTACAAACGTCATATGAATTCATAACGACTAGTTGAAGCTCACCTATGATCATACGTTTTTTACAAATGTCAGGGCTCTTGGATCGCTGTCTGTCTAAAAACTGCCGATTATCCGGTGATAATACTGAGAGTCCACTTTGCTGCACTGGAGTTGCGGTACAAGTTTCGAAATTGTATGCCGTGTACGCATCGAATTCATGACTCTCATGTTCACGTAAACGTTCCATAATCTTCTGAACTATTTCCGATGGAGCCACATATGGTGATCCTAATGAAAACATAAAAACTCCATTATGACGAGCATTGAATTGCATTCTGGACGGAAATATTAATTCAAATACATGAAAAGAACCATTATTCAGTACAATTGACATGCACGAAAGTAAGGAAATAATACGTCAATAGAAGTGCCTCCTGAAACGAACGCACACGATTAAAAATAGTGTTCAGTTCAGTTTCAGAATAGACGCAACCGAAAAAAAAATGGTGAAACACAGTATTTATTCATACAGTGTTAGACTAAAACTTCTGAATCGCAGCATGGACTTACTAAGTCACTAGGCCCGGAATATCTACGATGTGATACGCGTTTCGGCACGCTCAGCGTGTCGTTGCTACCTATAAAATTCACATCAATACATAGCTTACAAATCATTATTTGCAGGATTAGTCAGACAAATTTATTACATGTCTCTTAAGTCGTGACATATTTCCCCCTCTTCGGTCTGTATTAGGTGATTTGAAAATTCTCGAACAGGAGCATTATTGGTACTTAAATAAGAACAAAAGATGAAATATTACCAGTCAGTCCACGATAGCCTAATGAGGCTGAATCTATTGATTCGGTGGTTTCCTGCTGCTGTCTGACGAAATCGTCGAGTGCAATGCCCTTCAATTTCGATGGCTGGAGAAATCTTTTGGGAATTCGTGAGAGTGGTCCATTGTCCTGGAACGCCTTTGGACATCCACCGAATCCAAGACCAAGGAGAATAGCCTCCGGATCAGCGCGACGAAGTTCTAGAAGACTCTCGACACTACTGCAATGACTGCTGTCAGATTGCAAACTTGGGTCTCTCATTAATCTGCTGTGTGAACCGGGGCTGAAAATTATAGAAAACTCCATTTGCAAAGGCTTATTTATGGATACTCCAAGTACAAAAGCTTTTTGTTTTTAGCTCGATCGAAATAGTCACAATTCTTGACGTAAACCTAATATTTCCTCACGCGTGTACATTTCACATGGAGGAAATGAATTTCCCGTCTCAGGATGAGGAAAAAAATTATTCGCGTGCGAGAGAAGAAATAATCAAGACGTTCGTGTTTCTCAACGATTTGAGTAATCGGAAATCTGTCACGTAGGCAATGTCGGATTGTTTTCACTCTCGATTATGAAAGTTACTATTTTCAACCGTCGGAAGCTACAACAAAGTCTTTCCAAATTCTTAACACACAATTTATCTACAACCAATTCTGTAA